ATCTCTTGTTTACAAAAATTGGCCCATAAAGACATTTCACTTAATAAAAGGCTTCTATTGAGAAAAATTACGTCATTCTCTTGAAAAGGAGTTGCTAAAGAAGTTATGAGTTTAAACAGTACATTTTCTCTCTACTGTATATCCAATTGTCTACTGAGCATCCCTGCTTGTTTTCAGATGCATATTTAAAATCCATTATGTATAATACACATCACATTTCTAAGATATGACACATAATAAATATTTTTTTAAAAGAATGAATGGACTCGGTAGTTCAACGGCTAAGGCACCAGCCACATACACCAGAGCTGGAGGGTTCAAACTCAGCCTGGGCCTGCAAAACAACAATGACAACTACAACCAAAAAATAGCCAGGCATTGTGATGGGTGCCTATAGTCTCAGCTACTTGGGAGACTGAGGCAAGAGAATCGCTTAAGTCCAAGAGTTTGAGGCTGCTGTAAGCTGCGCCATGGGCACCAGGCCAGGATTTCATTCTTGTTAATAGATCAGTAGTATTCCACTTTATATACAGGGTGGCCATAAAGTTTGTGTGCAATTAAAAACAGACAACTTTATGGACATCCTTTATATACCACTTTTTCTTTATCTATTCATCTTTTCATGATCAATTAGATTGATTCCATATCTTGGCTACTGTGAATAGTGCTACAATGAACGTGAGAGTGCAACTATCTCTTTGACATGCTGATTTCATTTTCTTTGATACCTAGTATTAATAAATACCCAGTAGTGTAATATGGTGATTTTTTATTAATTATTGTGGACATTCCATACCATTTTTCAAAATGACTGCTAGTTCTCATTCATACCAATTATAGGGTTTCCAATTTCTCCACATTAATCCCATAATTTTTTAAATGTTTTTTATTATAACCATTCTAGTTGAACATGAGGTGATATTTCAATATCGGTTTCATTTGCATTTTCCTGATAGTGATGTTGAGCACTTTTTCAGATCCTTGTTGTCCATTTGTACATCTTCTTTTGAGAAATGTCTATTCAGGTCTTTTGTCCGTTTTTCAATCAGGTTATTTGTTATTTTGCTTTGAGTTGATTTCCTTATATATTTTAGATATTAACCTTTTACCAGATGCATAGTTTACAAATATTTTTCCCATTTTGCTGGTTATTTCTTCACTCTGTTGATTGTTTTTGTTGATGCTGTTGTTGTTCCGAAGCTTTTTAGTTTCGTGCAATCCATTTGTCTATTTTTGTCTTCGTTGCCTGTGCTTTTGAATTCTTATTTTTAAAAAAAATCATTGCCCAGTCCAATGTCATGAAGCATTTCCCCTATATCTTCTACTAGTTTTAGATTTGGGTCTTACATTTAAGTCTTTAATCCATCTAGAGTTGATTTTCACTGTTTGGTTTGTTGTTGCTCTAAGATTTGCAAAGTACATCTTTAACTTGTCACATTCTACATCTCATAATATTAATAATGTTATTATATATTATGTTGTATATCACATTTAGCATATAATTTTATAGTATGGAATAATACATATTAATATATCATCATCTTATTTGTATAATACATAATATGGTATATATAACATTATATAACTAGAACCTAACAACAGCATAGTTTTATTTCTTCCTTCCCATTTTTCTGAATTTTAAATATATTTTATTTGTATATGTCTTATGAACCTCATAATATGAATCACATAATCAAAAATGTTTTAAGAAAAGAATGTAAAATTATCAAGTAGTTTAATATATGTGTCACAGAGTATGAAGATCCAAGAAAAAACACTTTGATGTCCAAAAGCAAAAAAAAAAAAAAAAAAATGGATGTTCCATCTCAAAGAGAGAATTCACCCTTCCTCAAACTTTTAGTTCTGTTTGGGTCCTCAAAGGATGATACCTGCCCACATTGGCAAGGGTGAATCTTCTTTATTCTCTCTACAATTTTAAATACTAATCTCTTCTAGAAACACCTGCACAGACACACTCAGAAATAATGTTTTACCAGCTATCTGGGCATCTCTTAATTTAGTCAAGCTGCCATATGAAATTAACCATCACAGGTCGGCCTCTCTCTCTCTCTCTCTCTCTCTCTCTTTCTCAGACTTCAGAAGAAACCAACTCTGCTAAAACTTTGACTTTGGACTTCAGCCTCCAGAATTGTGATACAATGAATTTCTGTTGTGTTAAGCTATGCATTTTGTAGAAATTTGTGAAGGCAGCCCTAGGAAATCAATACACCATCCAAACATTAAAGTTATTCTTTTCATATGTCTTTTTGACTCCAGGAGATAAAAGTATAACTTTTTTCTCATTTCTATAGTTCATTTCCTCCACTATGACATTCATAAAAATCTATCTGGTATTTTAATTGTTTCCATTTATTTAATTTTTACTATATTTTCTCTCTGCGATTTTTACAGAAAAGACCAACTCATCTTTGTATAATCCTGAGAGAATTCATTGTGCACATTATACATTCATTATTGAATATATTTAACTTGGTTTCTAAGTTAGTGACAATAAGTGATCACTGCAAAATTCTTGATTTAGAGTTGTGCATTTTAATAAATTGAAAACAGAAAACAGCTGAGGTAATAAGCACATGCATCATAAATTTAGTTTACTTTACAAGCAGAAGTAGCAAAAGCCTATCAGCACTGAATCCATACACATTTGAGTGTCTATGAAATTTACTATTTAAAAGTAATGGTTTTAATACTAAAACTATTTGTATATTGTTTTATGCTTCCTAAAGTCCTTTCATTTCCATTATATCCTTTTTTATGATATAGTTCCTGGAAAATACCTATTATTAATAACTTTATTTTACATATGAAAATATTAGGAGCAGAGAAGTGAAATGAATTCCAATTTCAAATGTATAGTCAATGCCACCACACTTTCACTAGCAGATCAGAGGGAAAAAATGCTACTACCAATAATACCATGACTGAATGTACATTTATGTAAAATGTTGTATCATTGTATAAAAATATAATAGGTAGTCAAGTTTAACACATCAATACCATGCTTGCAGTGTAAATAATGAAGCTAACAAAAAATCTAAAGTTCAATAAAAATCCCCAGTTAAATAGTATGATGGCTCAATACCATTGTGTATTTCTAAACTTCTGCTTCCACTAGGACTTAACATGTGGTGTGCGCATAGACACAAAAAACCATTAACACGGGCAGCGCCTATGGCTAAGTGTGTAGGGCGCCGGCCTCGTATACTGTGGGTGGCGGGTTCAAACCCGGCCCTGGCCAAATTGCAACCAAAAAATAGCCGGGCGTTGTGGAGGGAGCCTGTAGTCCCAGGTACTCGGGAGGCTGAGACAAGAGAATCGCTTAAGCCCAGGAGTTGGAGGTTGCTGTGAGCTGTGTGACGCCACTGTGCTCTACCAAGGGCTACAAAGTGAGACTCTGTCTCTACAAAAAAAAAAAAAAAAAAAAGAAAGAAAAAACCCCACTAACTTAAGTCTTATAGTACAGTTAAAATACTGAATCCAAAGTGATGACAATTGCAGGTTTTCCGTTTCCTGTTAAGCGGTTTTTTCATTCTTTTTTTTTTTTTAATTGAATGGTAACTATGTACATTAATGCACTTCTGGGGTACAGTGTGGGGTTTTCACATGCAATCTGAAATACTTCCATCAAACTGGTCAACACAGCCTTCATGTCATTTTCTCAGTTATTACTTTAAAACGTTCACATTCTACTCTTAGAAAGATTCACCTGTACCCCTATAAGTGATCCCTCCAAACTCCCTCCCTCCATCCATTCCCCCCTCCCTTCTCCCTCCCACCCATATTCTTAGGCTATTTGGTTATAGCTTTCATATAAAAGGTATAAATTAGTTTCATAATAGGGGTGTGTACATTGGATACTTTTCCCTCCATTCTTAGCATACATTTAGTCTTTCTGTTACAAGGCCTTTTTCAGAACGCAGACTTCAGGGGAAAGTACATAGGAAAACTTTTGGCTAAAGAGGAAACAATACCCAATAGATGTTCTTTACTTTTATTATTAGATGTACATGAAGTTTCCCTGTTCTGTTATCAAATAAATATAAAGGAATAGATTTCATATTGGTTCTCAGTTGCAAATAATTCTTAGATACATACAGAATTAACTTTTTCAGACAGTGAAATGTTCATTGTCTGTCATATTTGCACAGAAATATCATATCAATATCAAAGCCTCCACACTTTCACTAGCAGATCAGAGGGGAAAAATGCTACTACCATTAATACCATATGCTAGTGGCATATTTGCACTTCAAATATCTTTGAAGTTTTTTGTGAATAATGTGGAATTCATTATAACCAATGTATTCCACTTTATATCTCATCTCATTTTATTAGTGTACATTTTCTAGCTTATTTTCAAGTAGAATTACAAATAAGTAGACTTATACATACACACACACACATATATGCTGCTGATGGCACCAAATTCCTAGAAAAAGTTTTGTAGTAAGTATAAATTCAGATAAAATAATCTAAAAGAAAAAAAACAGATGAGTAGATATGAAAAACTTTAAATAATAAAAATATAATAACCAAATTATAAATAACAATAATGTTCAATAAATGAGCAGAAAATAAGCTAGCAAATGTACCCTAATGAAATAAGATGAGATGTAAAACATGACCCTTTCTATTATGTCAATATATGAGATACTGCTATAAATAGAGTGGAAATATCAGAAATTTAATTTATTATACATTTTGATTGCAAGGTATAAATGCAATATGTATTCAGTAGTTGAGTATCACAAGTTTACTAACATGAATGATATTTCAAGCACATTAGATTCTCTAAGTCCTTTATAAAATATTTAAAAAGGTATTACTGTTTTCAAGGCAATTTATACTTTAAAGTTATAAACAATGAAAAAATAAAGTTACATTTAAGTAGAATTGGCAAGTAATTTCTCTAATTTCCTTGCATTTTGGACCAAAAATCCCCCAAGTCTATCATTCAATAACCCAGATCCATAGCAAAGATGATTGGCATGATACTGTGATCCATTGGAAGATTTTCATTCTAACTCAGGATTACGGTCCTTCATGGTGATTCCTAGTTTTTCCAGGAGTTTGCAAGATGATTTCTCAATCTCTGCATGGCTAATTTAACATCTTCATTCCTCAGGGAGTAGATGATGGGGTTCAACAGAGGTGTACAAACAGTGTAAAAGACAGAAAGGAACTTATCCACAGAAAATCTGCTAAAAGGCCATATGTAGAAATAAATGCAAGGCCCAAAGAAAAGAATCACCACTGTGATGTGGGCAGTTAATGTAGAAAGTGCCTTGGATGACCCACTGGAAGACTTGCGCCTGACGGTGATCAAAATGACGGTGTAAGAAATAATTAAAGCCAGAAAACAGCTCAATGATATCAGGCCACTGTTAGTTAGGATCATAATTTCCATTTCATATGTGTCTACACATGCCAGCTCTATCACCAGGGGAAGGTCACAGAAGAAGCTATCTACCTCATTGGGACCACAGAATGGCAGATCCACTGTAAAAGCCAAGTGGCTAACAGAATGAAGAATACCCACAGCCCAGGAAATAGATACAAAAATCATACATAGCCTCCGGTTCATAATTGTACTATAATGCAGGGGCTTACAGATGGCTATAAATCTGTCATATGCCATAGCTACAAGCAGCATCATCTCACTTCCAACAAAACTATGAAGAAGAAATATCTGAGCCATGCAACCCTCAAAGGAGATAGTCTTACGCTCAAAAAAAAAGTCCGTGAGCATCTTGGGGGTGGCAAAGTTAGACTGGCAGATGTCAATGAAAGAAAGGTTACTGAGCAAGAAGTACATAGGAGAGTTCAAATGGGAGTCAGAGGAAATGATGACAATAATTATGACATTGCCTAGCACTGATGTCACATAGACTACAGAGAAGATAGCAAAAAAGAAAAGCTGAAGTTCTCGAGAATTAGAAAGTCCCAAAAGTATAAACTCAGACACCACCGATTCATTTACGTGAGCCATGTATCCAATCTACAGTTATCTGAATGAAAAAAAAAATCAGGAAATATCACAATGATTGATACTACAATAAACCTAATTTATACACAAAAGGAATATGATATACTTTCAATATGATATACTTTCAAGTTAATGAAATACATATATAAATAATCAATTGACTAATACTTTACACCTAGAATTGCTATGGAAAGTTGGAGAAGTGCTAAAAAGAGAAAGAGATATAAATCCTATCATAATTAGGAATGGGTCGTACATTAACACCAAAAATATTAATAAGATGAAAGAGTATGCCAAAGAGGTAAAAATAAGTTTTAGCTCAAATAAGTGTTATTTGAGCAAAATATTTTTCAAGGTTTAAAATCTGCTGACCAAAAATGAAAAAAAAAAAAA